TATCATATCTACTTGAAACATGGGAGTGACAGAGCACCAGCTTTTATTATGAATCTGAAACCAGAAATCCATGCCATGACTTTTTAATTTCTTGCATAAAACAAAGCAACAAAGGGGAATCTTCCTTCATTGCCATTCTTACTTTTGTTTATGTGGCTGCTTAGGAGTGTCTGTTATTGTCATCTCTAATAGAACACTGCAGCCTTCATTTTAACCATTGGAATGTTGGTCAGTGGCATCATCGATTTATTCAAGACTATGGCCAGCTCAGTGTCCCTTTGCATATACATACATCTTAAGAAATTTAAAAAAGTATTTATTTTATATGTTTTGCCTGTGGGTATTTGCATCATGTGTCTTCACTCCTCACAAGAAATAGAAGAGTGTATCATATCCTTTGGAAGTGGACTTACAGATGTCTGTGTCATCTTGTAATTACTGGGAATAAAACACAGATCTTCCAAAAGAGCAGCTAGTGTTCTTAACAGTAGGGTCATCTCTCTGAATCCAAAATTCTGGCAAATTTCTACTTATCATGATAGGATATTATAATTTAATATCCAATTTAAGCTAAATGTTAGTATAATATTTAAAATAACTTCTTGAAATGACAGTATCCATGCTCCCTTCTTTCTAACTTTTTTGCCACTCAGCTCTATGGCTGCTCTAGTCTTCCTGCAGGTGTTCAGTCTGCCCCTTTAACAAATGTCTTCTTGGATACCTATTGGCTTTCAACTGCTTGATGACATCATTCCCCCTCAGCCAATCAGCAACAGATGGAGTTTTGAGGTTACCTTGGAAATAACTGACAAAACGTTCCTCAGTGCTGAGCATCTTTGAATCTGCACAGACGTGGATCTTTTACTGTGAAACCCAACAACCCGTGTTCTCATCCCTTTATTCAGATCCTACTCCTTTTGAAACCTACAACCTGTTCTCTCATTCCTTTGTCCCTATCTACTCCTTTTGTTCATTGTTCCTGACTTGAAGATGTCAGGTAGGAAAAGAAACTTTAATGTTTGTTTAGTTGGACAGCTTCCCAAATTGGGAAGCATCAAACAATGTGGGATGAAGGGGAAAGTGCTGAACATCTGTTTGGTGTCCTAACTGTAGTCTTGGATTGGACATTTCCTAGTGTTGTGAATTTGGACATTCTGTTTCTCCCCCTGTCACTAAATGTGCTTTTACGTGGTGAAAAAACAGGATGGCCATGCTCAGGGCCTTCTGAAGTATTGAGTCTTTAGAACCATGCTATAGGGAAGGAAACCAGATAGTTCCTGAGACTGTTTCAGGTGAAGCAGAGAAAGAGCTGGGTATGTAGTCTGGACAAGTAAAGGCCATGATTCTTCTTTCTACCCTGTTTTCCACATTAGCATTTCCCTGTTAGTGCTGTGGAGCAGTGGTGGAGAGATGTCATGGGAACTGCCTGCCACATCTGCCATTCCTCCATGGTTGCCTCCAGGGTTGCCTTGGCTGACTTGGCTGAACACACAGCTGTGTCCAGGTCTGGGAACAGTGAGCAACCTTCCTGGACCTGGAGGATGACAGTTAGGCCTGGACATTCATGGGAGAGACTGGGGTGAGTTTTATGTCTGAGGCACAGGAGGAATCTGTCATCCCTACTGTGATCTTCCAAACCAACTAACTCAAGGTAGTGTCAGTTTCAGAACTGTTTGGTCAAGTGTGTTCCATGAGCACTTGGGAGCAGAGGTAGCTGAGTCACCACCACTTCATGACTGACACACTCTGTTACATAATGAATTCCCAGAGAACATATCCCATAAAGTAAAGCCCTGTCCAAATTTAGAGGAATCTTTCTTCATGTTAAAATTATTTGTAATTTTTTCCATCATAATATTTTTGTTCATTATTTAGGGAATTTATTCAATGCATCTAATCAAACTAGGTTCCTAATCCTCCCAAGCCCACCATGCCACACCTCTGGCCATCCAAAAGAGAAGAAAAGAAGTGAAAAGAAAAGAAAGACTATAGCAAGTCTAATTTTTGTTGTCCATATACTCCCTGGAGCATGGTCAAAGTCTCACCCCTTAAGGATAACTGTGTCCCTCCCTACACACAACAACCCCTTCCTGCCAGATCAATCATGGGTTTACAATAACACTTCAGCATCTTTATCACAATTTATGGAATGTCTTCAGTGTCTCATGGTCTTCACTTTTTCTTTTATTTATTTGGAGGATGGGAAAATCTTCTGTGATAAGTCTCTCATTTTCAATGATGAGTCTGCTGTCATAGGCACCATTGAAAAGGGACTTTCCTACCTCATACCAGCCAGTGACAGCACACATCTGTGACTTCCACATGGTTTTAGGTGGGAGCCTGGACAATGGACACCAGCATGGAGTTCAGATACAGGACAGTGTCTAGAGTTCTATTGAAGAGGCCCAATTCATAAAGAACAATTCTCCATCTTCATTAGTGTGAGCTTCTGCATCTCAAGTTTCACTTTGCTCTGGCTGTGCATAGAGCTCTTCTCTACTCTTTGAAACCTCTTTTATTTCAATGTATTGACACTATTTTTGAAAAGTGTCTTCCCCTGAGATTGGAAGTGTTTTAATTGTTTCTGAGATGCTTTTTGCTCTTGCAGAGTCATCTGCTGCTGTCTCCTCTCCCCTCTGTGCCTCTAGGCTCCTTGGAGCTGCTCCGTGGTTCAGTAGATGCCAGTAGCCCCTGCCATCATGAGTTGATCTACATTTTAAATTCTTGGAATTTTTTATTTAATCCCTGTTTTTTTCAATTGAAATTGTAGTCAGGTTCTGACTTCTATGTCATCTACTGAATTGCAGAATTAAAAGCCTAAATTGCATGGCCATAGTGGTCACTACATTAGTATTGCGTAAATTAACATTGATTATTGGAGAAGCAAAGGATTTGTTTTCCTAACTAATTTTATATCTGATTTCAGGCAAAATTTTTGAACCTTGGCTCACACACCAACAGAGCTGTCCAGGACTTTTCACTGCTGTGGACACAAATGAGGTAAGTATCATGGCTGCTGAAAAGGAAGTTCTTTTCCTTGCAATCATATGGGGACAATTTAAAGTCCTGGTGTCTTTTTCTACTTTAAACCAGTGAATCTTACTTTTATTCTTCCTAGTGATCATGTCTCACTTTTTCTTTTCCTTAGCTGTGGAATCACAGCAAAAAGGTCAATACTAAGAGCAATTTGTGTTTAGAATTCATTGCACTTCTGCTCTCAAACACACTGTCTCTCTAGAAAACTTTCAAGAAAGGCTTGTGCAATCCCGTGCTCAATGGAGTTTCATTTCCTCCTGTCGCTTCTCAGAATAAGTTTCTAGAATCCTTGTCTAGCAGGAACTGAGATTTCCTTGATCATTGAACCTCAAATGCTATCCAAGACTTGGGTACCATAGGTACTATTAAATTATTGAGGGCACACATTCACAAATCCTTTTGTTTGTAGCTGGGATTACAATTTGGAAGGCATGAGTTTCTTGCAAGCTGGGATGCTCCCTAATTGCCTTGGTGATATCAGAATTTCCGTGTGGAAATTGCTGTGTTTATGCTTATGCACAATCCTCTGATTTGTGCACAACTACCTATAGTAGATTCATCTATAGTTAGTCTCAATAGACATGCTGTTTGTAAGATCCATTCCATAAATTAAATGCTACCCATTGGATCCTATTCAACTCTTTGCAACCATAGTGGGGATCCTAGGCTTGGTATGATTTGTATACTAAAGTTTTTGAGCCGAATCTCTACATGTGATGTTTTATTTACTCTAATTTCTTTAGTGAAGCTTTTTCTCTTATTCTCTCTTTCCCCCCTCTCTCAGATACACCTGTACACACACACACACACACACACAGAAGCACACACACACACAGAAGCACACACACACACAATATGTGTTTCTGTTATTTATAGCTAGAATAACTAGTTAGCAGGATAGCAGAAGACAGGCTCTGATGTTTCCCATCTTCTCTCTTTTGTCTTAGAAAAGGAACACCATCAGAAGTTACAGAAATGTTACTCTTCCACCCCAAGAGCGTATCAAAATTTTAATTAATGCGGGGATGACTATTGAGGTCAGCAAGAAAGTTCCCTTCAAAACATATGTAGATATGAAGGATGACCTCATAAAGGTGGCAGCTGACCTCCAAAGAAAAGACCTGGAAGAGGAAGCATTTGTGAAGTACCACTAATTTTTAATGTGAGTGGTTGCCGTTTCCATCTCCTTTCCTTTTACTGACCCATCACTAATCCTTTCCTCCTCTTCATGCTTCTGACCTGTGCTAACCTCATGGAAATTGACAAAGATATCTGTTAGTCATATTTATGTCAACTCACACACATGCTTTTCCTTACTATTCAAAGACATGAGGACCAAAGGTCATGGTATGGCAAACAAGGGATTTCAAGTGTAGTTCATAAGCTTGTGACCACTTGGCCCAGATTTTAGATGAAAGGGTTGTCAGCTAAACAGGATGTGTCTACATAGGTGAGTGTGTTGACTGCTCTATCTCCACCAAGGCATCCAGCCACAGGCTTATTGCTGTGTGTTGCAGAGCCCAGAATCCTCTTCTCTTAATCCTGTAGTTTATTGATTGGGATAAGAGACAGGTTAGCCTTTCCTGTTGCTACACAGTCACCAGGGGTTTGCGGACTACCTGGGGTCCAAGTGGCTCAGCACAGTCCCTGTGCTGTTCATTGTACTTGGATAGGCAGAATAAATACAAGGTGGCAGAGCTGTCACCTGAAATGACACTTATATCCTCAGTGACAAGAAGGTTATGTGCTTGAGGAAGGAATGATGGTAAAGGTCTCACCACTCATGCTTAGTGGTGAGTTTGATGAAAGACAACCTAAGCACACATATGCAGGTGACTCTGTGGTGACCAAGCACTGGGGAATAATGTGTGGGCATGATGTCATTTGTCTTTGGAAGACTGTGTGTGCTGAGTAGGCACATCACTGTCTTTTTCTACAGAGGAAAAGAAAGCTCAGATTTAGACATGATCTCAGATACAACAGTTTACACCCTCTGGGTGCAGTATCTCTCTATGCTCCACTGCACAGCTCCCCACAGCTCTATGTACCCCCAGTATCTCCTTTCACTATCTATTGCTCTCAGAGGTGAGGTTTGCCCTGCTGGGGAACAGTACACTATGCTGCTGTAGGAGCAAACATTGATATAGTTATTGGGAGTGGAAGAATGAGAGCACTGTCTGTATTCTACATGAAGTTCAGGAGGATGGTCTGTTTCCTCACAGTTCTGTGAGTTCATTAACTCTATCTGCTTTCTCCTGAGTACTGGGATGACAAGCAAGCACCATGTCTGCTTTCATGTACTTCTTGATGGCTGATGCTTCCTGAATGTACCAGCTGATGGAAGAGTGAGGACCATTCTCTCTCCAGACACTGGGAGGGAAAGGGATGTGGGACTTCAGGATGTGCCTCGTCTCACACCAGGAACTTCTAAAACTATGCATAGAGAGGCCAGATTTCTTCAGGGCCTCATCTAGACATTTGGAACTTTTCTACACACCATAGTCACTCTGCTTTATTCCTTTAGACTCTTTGTGGAGAAACTCAGAAAAGGCCCAGAATACCTCAACTGCCTGTCCAAGGGAACAAGATCCAAAATCAACAAGGTAGGTCTTCATTATCTATATGGCAGACGTAAAATCTCTAGAGCAACAGAGAGCTTAGGTTGGTGGGGAGCTGATGCTGCCTCAGCATCATAGTACAGAGGAAAGGGATTGCAGGTAAGGAGGTTCAAGTCATGCATGAGATAATAGTGCCTCTGCCCACTTGTTTTCTCTCCATCTTTTCTGACTATAGGACTGTTCTCATTTCTTTTCGGGTTTTCTGTTGCAGAGTATAAATAGAGTCTTTGTTATTGCTGAGACACTGAAAAGCAAACTGCTGAGTCGATACAACAGTGAATATGCAGGTTACCTGGCAGATAAGGTCAGTGTGTGGGCATGAAGACAGAATATTTGTGTGTCATCTAGTCAGCCTGTTACCTGGGACTGTGTTGTGCTGTTTCTGTGGAATCTGTGTTCAAAATGTGCTCCACACTCACTTGAACACTCATCCACCTATATCCATAGAAGTGACAATACACTACAAACACACACACACCCACACATACACACACACAGTGCACAAGTGTACTCATATATTGAGACAGAATTATTACTTAAGACAGATGTACAGCAACTGCATAAGGCAGTGCTGTTTTTTTTCATAGTACCCAGGTTATGAAGGAGAAGCATGGACATGATGATGAGATAACACAACTGATTACATCTACACTTTGTTTGTCTCTTTGCTGGCAATTCTTTTTCTTCTGAGATTTGAAGTATGAGAAGGATCCCATTTCTTTTTCTGTAGAAAAGAAGAGAAGAGGAAGAGGCAGAAAATAAGGCCTTTTGGCAAGAAGTAAAATATGCAATTAAAAACTCCCCAGAGTTTGCCAAATGGAGCTCTCTGGTAGAGAGACTGGTAGACGGAATTGAGAAAGATATTGGAGCAGTCGGTTCTACCCTGGCATCAGCATCAAAAAGTGCTGAAGAGACTTTGGCACTAAGCACTCCACAGGAAGCCTATGAAGAGGTCACCACCAACACATCATTAGACAAGCAGGGTGGAGAGACTAAGATGGTGGAAAGCCCAGGTAAGTCCCCACAGGTTCAGAACTTGGAAAGACTCATGTGAAGTGGACTCCATTGCATCTGGTCAGCCACACACACTTGAGAATGCAGCTCAGCAGGAAAGGAAGAAGGTGCTAGTGACCAGGTGTATGAAGTCCGGAGCACTGAGCAGCACAGAGAAGATTCATCCCCTTTTCCATGTCCTCAGTCTTTCGCTTCCCTGGATCCACTTTGCTGTGGTAACAGAACCTAATGTGATTAGTGTTGTCACTCTCCTTCCTGTCACCCTGACTATCTTGCAATAATAGGCTTTAACTTCTTTAAAGTCACATCAGTTTCTTCAAAACTTGTTGGTTTCATGTCCTCATCTTTTCAGTGCTCTGTAGAGATTAGAGGAAGCACATTAAGAAACTACTGAATCATCTCCCATTGTAAGGAATATGCTGTATATTGTGACTTTCTAAATGTTGGGCTCTCAGTTAATCTTATGACATAATGGAGAGATGCGAAGGCAATAGAATTTTGGTTGTAGGAGATTGTCTTCAGCATTAGTAGGAAATCCTCAAGTAGGTCAGGGAGATAATGACACTGTGACTGAAGTGCTAGCAGTGACAGTGTCAGAAGCTGGGATGGAATCAACAGAGAGCACCTGAGACTGGGTATGGTTGGCTACCTCTCTATTCAAAGTTCTCTTTGGGTGACATGAGACATGGAGACAGGAGAAGACATGGTTTCTCACAGCACTGGTAACTGTGTAGACATGGAACACAGAGGATCCTATTGGAATAGTAGGGCCAGGGAAGCCCAGCAATCCTGGCAGTCTCTTCACGTATCCAGATGTGCTGAAGCAACTGTGTATCCATGCTCACAAATGAACATGCACATTCTGAAAAATGCACAGCAGATCATGGACGTGCCCAAACACACTCATGGTTCATGCATGAAGGATTTCAAAAGTGCAATCCACAAAATTTTTCTCAAATATCTTAGCTCATTAATTTATACTTATTTTTACTTTCATTTGTATCATCTGGCTTTATATTCTGAATATGCCTGACTTGTGATCCTGGCATCTTATCAAGGAATTTCTGAAATTCCTAGTGTGCATCCTGTGGGCTGTCTTTTCACATGTTTCTAAAGTATTGGTTGATACATATCTTGTCTGGCATGACTCTAAATCTCTTCTTAAATGAGACCTGAAGTCAAATTGCAAAGCTCTTCTAAATTGGGCACAGGTGAGAGTCAGCCTTTCCCAGATGTGTGCCTGTGCATTCATAAATGCACACATTTCCAGATGCAGGTGAGAGCATCAGTCTTAGCCAGGCTTGAGTCTGTGCACTCAGCAATCTACACATCTGCATATTATAACACACGATCAGGAGTATGCTGTTATGTTTAGCTGGGACGGTAGAATTAATCAGGAAAGAGTGAGTGGTCCCTGGTAAGTGGAGAAACCTATCTCTGGAACTTTGCCGGGATTGGTGCAACATCTTCACTCATAGTTAGTGTCAAGAGGTGCAACAATTCTAGGTTGTAAGTGCACATGGATGGCTGAAATCAAGGATTGTAATTAAATCACTAGACACAAGATAAATGATAATTGTGTTTCTGTTGGGGAACAATTATGGAGAAAAATACACAATAGTGCTGAAGCATTTCCCTGTTCTTACTACTAGATTCTCTGACCCTCCAGAAAAAGATCACAAAGGAAACACATGCCTCAAGCTCCACTCTTTCCTCTTTAAACTGCCTGAAATCACACGCAAAATGGTATAACCATCGTTGCAGGTTCACAGACCAGTCACCTACAGATACTCATGCCTTTCTAGGGTCTGGAGGGTCTCCCCCATCCATACAAAATGCCTTATTGGGGAATGTCTATGGTGGCATGACATTGAGAAAGAATCTGTATATGATTCCATGTAACTACAACTTCTCAAAATTTGATTGTTATGGATGGTTTTTCCCCCAGCCTTGTCCCATAGCCACCTTTCCACAAATGAACACACTAATATTTATATTGCTTATAGTTCTGTTGACTGATGACTAGGACTTCTTATTGGCTTGCTCCATCTTAAATATTAACCAATAACTACTAATTTATGTATTTTCACATGCTCTTATTTTACTGGTGAATGCCTGAGTCATGTCTTCTCTTTCTGGGATGACATAGAAACTGCATTCTGCCTAAATTTGATGGGGTTTCTATGGCCTCACAACATTTCAGTGAAATGATCAACATAAATTAGTAGGCCCACAACAGGCTTTCTTCAAGGATGAACCTCAGGTGTACTAGTGGGTAGGTTCAGTCTTTGTCTGAAAGTCACTGGCCATGGGAGCCTCTCTTGTGAGAATCAGTCTCCAGACCCATGAGGAACCATAGAAATGTACTTCTAGACTTAAGAGTTCAGAGGCCAGCAGACCTGGAGATCTGAACCATAGACAAAGAAGACATGTTTGTTCCAGGAGAGACACATCAGAAGTTTACGTTTTCTCTGTCTGTCTGTCCTGTTGAGCTCCCAAAGTGCTTCATGTTACACACCTGTGTTGAGAGTAGACTTTGCACACTGAGTTTGTGAATCCACATGGAAATATCTTTACAGTCAATTCCCAGTTACACACACAGAAATATGGAGTTCCATCCACTCAAGCTGACAGTGAAGTCCATGCTCATAGCTACCAATATTAATGGTCAAACCTTGAAAAATAAATGCCCTACATGCTTTGTGGATCCATTATGGGCAGGAGATTCTTGAAGAGGTTCCCATTGACTTTGTGTTCTTTTTCCCAGGGTACCAGGCTGAGCTCTACTCAGGCACACCAGACCCTGTAACCTCAGATTTCTCCCTCTTTTCCATTTTAGGTCAGAACTCCAAAGGCCTCCACACTGTGGTCCTTCCAAAGGACCTTTGTAAACAGTTCCTCCGTTCTGCACGGAAGAACACCAAGAAAGGCATAGAGACATGTGGCATCCTATGCGGTACCCTGGTAAAGATCTGAAAATTTCTTTCTGAGTTGAGGCTGTTTCTACCCTTTGTCTGCCCATGTCTCTCAGAAAATATATCAGGGGTTCTCTCCACATATATATATATATATATATATATATATATATATATATATATATATATATATATATATATCAGTCCACAGAAGGAACTTTGTGTGAAATGGCCTGAGGTGCCTTGAATTTGATGACTGCATTAGGTTCCGTTTCAGAGCCCCTCTTCAGTGTCATGTTAGAAATTTTCATTCTAGTCATGGCTAATGCCTGTAATCCCAGGATGTGCTAAGAGAGATATCTTGTGGTCATGTCATCATCCTTCCTTTCACATGGTTCCCCAACAATGCACTGGAGCAGTCAAGGTGGGGAAACACTGAGGTGAGGGAGAAGGATGAGAGTCATTCACTGGGGTGAGGGCTTCACTTACTTATGTTATGACAGAGTGGGTTTGACAATGTCAGGGAGTGGTAACAATCTATTTTCTTTTGGCAGGTAAAGGACGAATACCATGTCTCCCATGTCATTATTCCTGTGCAGAAAGGAGGTCCCGATTACTGTTATGCCCAGAATGAGGAGGACATCTTATTTGTGCAAGAAGAACTGGGCCTTCTCACCCTAGGTTGGATTCATGTAAGCAAATTTACCTGACTGGTGGTGAGCTGCTCTTCTGAGTGCACTGCCCAGATCTGTCTCTACACAGAGTCAACCCATTCCAGATCACCTGTCTCTGAGCACATGCAGTCACTAGTGTTCCAGTGTTGAGTCAAAGGCACATTTCCTGGTGCATTTCAGCTTTACTAGTTAACTTCTTACTCAGTGTAGTTCTTCAATGTCCCAATTCCTTGTGAGTGTGTGGAGAATACTAGCTTGCCTAGCATGTATGAGAAAGTGCTATAGACATCATATACCTAAAAGCTGTATGGAATTATTTCAAATATGTCAAGAAAGTTCATTCTCATGATTGTATTTTGTCTTTGTGAAGGAGCACTTGTTATGTCAATACCCAAAAATCTCCTTCATGCAATGTTTTCAAGTATTTGGACAATCTGTGCAGACTTATGGTGATCTCCAAGTAAACATATTTCTTCCCTAGAGAGTACTTCTGAATGATTCTCTCCTGTTGAAGGCCTCAAACTCACAGAACAGGCAGCTCTTATTGGAATGAGAATGGTGTAAGCCACACTCAGTTATTTTTGAGTTTTGAGAGATCACAGCTTGCTTGGCAGTGCTGATGTGTGGGCAGTCTCCTGTGTTGCTTATGGGCAGGAAGGTCAGAAGTAGTTTTGAATAAACATAGAGCTCCCTGGGCAAATTTGGGCAGAACAATGATGTTTAGTTTAATGACTCTTAAGGCAACTTCATGTCCATACAACACTTAGAGAAGGAAACAGGAATCTTCCAAGGGGCTGGTCCAGATTTCCAACATCCTTCTTCTGAGATTGATCCCCCTCTTGTTGCAATCATCTCTTCCTTGATTTCATTATAGTTCATCTCCTAAGTATGCCTCCCCCCATGCTGCCAATATTTCAGTACGGCTTGTTCCTAAAAAACACAAGATTGTTGTCTTTTACTTTTGGCTTCCTTGACTTAACACTTGTAAGGTTCATCCCCACTCTGGCATTAGTTGTCTGAGGTGTTTTTAAACCTGGTGAACCAGTGAATAAGGGAAGTAAAGGATCTAGGCCCAAAATAATGTGACATATGCATGTACTGTACCACAAAATAAGAGCAGATGGGGCTCCTCTTTACATAGGGAGAACCACACAGGTCTCACAGGCAGGGTTGAAGGCAAGACCCAGAGAGAAGTTTGAACTGATGTTTGAAGTAGTCCTGGGAATTCTTTGTACAGACAGAGTCATGGTCTGCTATTGGCAGATGGGAAGCAGAGGCAGGTTAGAAGCTGAAAGACAAAACTTGGAATGGTTATTATTCAGACATCAGGTATAACTAAGCATAGATGAAAAAAGGATCTTATCCTTGGTGAAGAACCAGATAAGCAGTAGCTTCTTCAGATGTTTATGGAGTCGGAAGACAAAAGAGATCAATAAATCTTCCTTCTGTACCTAGACTTCTAAACTGTTTTCCTGGCTTGATGTGGGGAATCATGATGGGATCCAATTGTTGAAAATCCTAGGGACCTTTTCCTTTTGTTCAGACTTGGGTCTCACTGGGAATTCTTGAATTCTTTTGTCTCCTTAGACGCATCCAACCCAGACAGCCTTCTTGTCGAGTGTGGATGTACACACACATTTTTCCTACCAGATGATGCTGCCAGAATCAATTGCAGTGGTCTGCTCACCCAAATATAAGCAGTGAGTATGTCTGAATCAAGCCTGGAAGGTACAAGTGCAAAATCCTGTATGGCTGAGAACACTTTAAATACTAAGTAATATCCAGAGGGTCTCAACTGATTGCTATAGAAGCATTCCTTTAAGGAGCACATTCTAATTAACAACAGTTGCTGTCCTCAAACACCAAAGGTTGAAAAAGACCATAACAGACTCTTCCTAAGGGCGTCATCCTGTATCATTCCCAATGTCTTGGTAGTGTGAATTCCTCAGCAGAACTAGTGTTAGGAAAGCAACACATCATCCTGCTTTCCTTGGAATAAAATTTGTAGCCTAGAAAGTGTCCCACGGGGACTAGTGATCTCACGTTTTAGCGCAACCCCCGCTTGATCCTCACATTGTTTGGCCTGAACAGACATAACATTTTGCTTGATTCTTCTTCCTTCTCTATTCTATTATTGAGTTCCTTTGTTTCATTAAGTCATTCTATATGAAAGAGATCAAGAGAAAGACAGAGAGAGACATATACATAAAGGGGTAAGAAGAAGGAGAGGGATGACGAGGAGGCCAAAGAGAGGACGAGGAGGAGAAGAAATAAGAGAGCAGGTGGGAGGGTGATTGGGACTATGGCAAAGAAGACAAGTTCTAACACAACCAATGACAGTGATCACTCAGAATAGAAGGAGGACTTCCACATCAATTGTGAGGGAGGAAGAATTGTGCAGAGAAGAGGAGAGACAGGAGGAGAGGAGGGGAAAGGATACAGAAGTGAAAGAGAAGGGAGAGCAGTCATAGGAGAGGAAAAAGAGAGGAAGAAAAGTAAAAGAGGAGAAATAGGAGACAAACGTGTAGAGTAGAGAGAGGAAGGAGACGTGTGGGATATCTGGTGGACTGTGACATTGACTTTTCTCATTTCAGAACTGGAATTTTCACACTGACACCTTTTGGATTGAACGAAATATCAATCTGCACCCAAAGGGGCTTCCATCCCCATAATCAGGACTCAGCTATATTCTGTGTACGTATCAGTGAACAAGAAATTGAGCTGATGTCTCCAGCCAGTACATAGACCCGAATAGCTTTATCATCCTTTTTTCACCTTCATGGATGTTTGGCATCATCGCACACCTTCCTAGACATCCATTATAACCATTTATCTAGGAAGGAGTGAGCAGTGGATATATGTGTCTTATATTTGAAACATTGTCATTTGCTTTGTTTGAGGATGCTGACAATCCTACCCCTTTTCCTGATGTCTGGAGATAATAATACTATACACTTTCCAGCCTGTTGTGTGGAGAAGGGAAGAAGGACTAGGGTGGACTCAGGGACAGAGAGTGTGCTTAGTCTGATGTCCTGGATACATTCCTAGGAACATGGTGAACAGAAGTAACTGACAAAGCATGGACTCCATTAGCTTATTCAAGACTTATTACATGTTAATTTTTTCTTCATCATTGTCTGCTACTAAACATAAGTTGGTAATGTGAATGCCAAAGAAAGGGCCAAGTAAATAGGTAAATTAAGGATATTCATCCCAGAGTATTGATTCAAAATCAGGGTTTTCAGCTTCCTAGGGAGATGATTTCTTCTCCAATGTTGTGTCTGTGATAATACACTTGGCATGATCAGACCTCAGAGCTTAAGATCAGTATCAGATCTCTTTACTTCAATCAGCCTGGACTTTTCTATTCAGTTTACTTCAGATAAAATTTAGTACCATTGTGTGAAGAAAAGAACCGTGTCCCATAAAATTTGTGTTGAGAGGCAGAGATACAGTCAAATAGATTCAAGGAAGACTGAGATCCTAGGATCAGTGTGCTAATACCAAGAGGTAGAACTCGGTGTCTGTATTTATAAGCATCATAAATGTGTATGAGCATTTGTTAAGAGTTTGCATAATACTCCTGATCCTAACAGGAAATTGAGACCTAATGACATTTCAACTGTCATTTTACAAACATGTATATACATTTATATTTCATTATGTTTATTTATGCAATTTCATTATGTATTCTTTTTAAATTAAACACTGTTTTATTTTAATTCTGTGTCTCTGTGGATTCGCACATGTGAATTTAATGCCTGTGTGTTACACGAGCTCTTCAGATGCTCTAGATCTGGAGTCAAGCAATTGTGCACTGCCTACTTCCTTGCAAGAACAGTGGGTATTGTTATGCATAGCAGCATACTCCATCGCCCAGTGTGTGGTCTCATGGGTTAAGCCCAGTCTTGAATTCTATGATCCTCAGTGCTCCCTCTCTGTCACTGGGTTCCTTGCGTTTGACACAGTGTTTAGCTGTGGGTGTTTGACTCTGCTTCCATCAATCATTGGTTGATGGCTCTGTTTCCCAGACTCTCTGGCAGTGGGATTGTAGGCTGGCACTCCCCTGATCCATGTACAAAATCCATATGTTAGGGAGCACATACCATGTTTGTTTTTTTGTGACAGATCTTTTGACATTGCTTCTAATGATATCAGGATTTCATCTATAGGCTGAGAAATATCTACCTTCTTGGAACATTTTGAATCAGGGACTTACAACTTGGGATGTGCCTCATTTGAGGGAGTGTTTCTATTTTGAGTGCTAGGACCTGGACTTATTTCTCAGCACTGCTGAAATCAGCCATGCTGGTGTTTGGTTAAAATTTAGCCTGGGAGATAGAAGCAGGAGGATAATTTCGGGATCCACCTGGTTATCCTAAGGCTATGTGTTCGAACCAGGGACAGATGAGACTCTCTTTTGGTGTAATATAAAAAGTGTAAGCTTTTTTCCAACAGTTTTCCATGCCTTAACCACATTTCCTGTTCTCCAATTGCAGGACTGCAGTCATGTCATCTTTGAAAACAGCAGGGTGACCATCAGGGATTTGCGATGAGTAAACCAAAGCACACACCCACCTCAGTGGGAGTGTGTGTGTGTGTGTGTGTCTGTTGTGTGTATATGTGAGTGAATGTAGGTTGGTGTATATATCTGTATGTATGTTAACATTTTCATGTTATATCTGTTATGTATGTTTACTTGTTTGTATGTATCACACACTGTGCTCATTCACAGAGCCCAGATGAACTTACTTTTTTAGTTTTAGCAGTTAGGAGAAAGCATGGATAAAGCAGAAGATTATGACACATAAAGGCAAGAACTCTTGAGGATACATCCTGAGTCTAGATGTGAGAAAACAAAAAATTCATTTTACTTACAAGGTGAGGTGACTATTTCTGCCATGTGAGTAAGAACTTTCTGGAATAATGCACTAGTTGGGAATTGTGATTATTAGAACATCCTGGAAAAATACCTTAGTTCAATCTCCACAATACAAAAGAAACATAGTCTGACATGTGTTTTGTTATATGACAGTATTTGCAGTTCATAACTGACAATGATGGTATTTCTTTGAGTGAGGAGAGGGTTGCTTGAGTCAGGAGAGAAAATTCATCAAAGGTGTATCCTACATGAATTGCAATTCTAAGTTGTGAATATACATTTCCGTTTCTTGTTTAGCCTCCTGCATTTATAACGTAGCTACAAACCCTTTGACTAATGATTTTTTTAGTTAAAACTGATTATATGGAAGCTTTTAACATGAAAAAGGGAAGTGTATTACTTGAGAAAGAAAAGTACAAAACAGAAATTTTTAAATTTTTTCATAATAGAAATTATTTACATATTATATACACTGTACAAAAAGGAATAAGACAAAGGGGTCACGAACTTTATGTCAAGAAGGTATAATAGTACATCTAAGAACATGATGGGATTTCAAATTTGATAAAGATTCCTTCCATTGAATTGTAGAAACTCATTGTCAGAAAGGATTTGAACATGACTGGTAGCCTCTGATTACCTCTTCACGATGACCAGCTGCTTGGTAAACTATTTATTCTTAAATCCATTTACCATATCTATCCCTAAAGGAAAGCAAAATTTATTTCCATCACCCAGATATACAATCATCTGGACCAATTTTGTTTTCTGTTCAAATATCTGATAATGCAATATTTCCCTACATGAAATCTTTCAGTAAATCAGCAGTTATATTATTTAGAATTATTAATATTACCCTCATGTGGGATATATGTGATTGTTCTTTTCTTTTTAAATTATTCCTATGACCTATGAAAATTTTAGTGAGTTAATAAGCAGTTAATTCTTTTTGTATTTTATATTCATATATTGGGAAGAGCTTTCTAAATCAAATGTTGCCACATATTAGCCCAGTCATCTTCCCATTCATCTGAATTACAAATAGATATATTTGGCAAGTTTGTATTGTGCATATAAATCTGTGCTTTCATTTCATATTACTTTAATTTAAATTTTAATTGTTTTATTATTGTAAAAGTTGTCACAATTCAAGTATTCATAGTTCACACTTTTTTAGTGTAATTCCTCTTCTAACACAATTTGCACAATTGGAGATCATACAGTTAGTACTAAGGAATTAACACACCACTAAGTGAATAACAGTACTTAATGTATGAATGATTTCTTCAAATGAGAAGGTAATTATGCAATAATATTTTGCTCCAACACTACCTGTTGCTTGTTTGAATTTTTATGCATCCGTGAGTTGGAAAGACTGATTGCATTTGCAGCACAAAGGAAGAAAGCAAAATTAGGTTTGCTATTGCGAGTTAACATAGATTGAGTGTGCTCAAACTCTAAGTCACATTTGTAGGTTTTAGCCAATATTAATTCATAGGCATAAATCAGTTGGTTAATTCATTAATAGGCACAAGTAAAGAAAGATTCCTTCATAATTTCTGAGCGACGATGCTCACCCTCAGTATTTAGAGACTACAAGTTAAGCAAGTTAAGTTATCCTCTTTCCAGCTGTGTTATCATCTGTAAATTGGGAATAACCTCTGGGTGATTAGATGTTATAACAGTAGATAATACATCATACAATTTACTATCATCAGTCTTTAATATTCCCCAAGGCCCATGTCTTCATTTATTTTTGTATTCTGGAATAATTGTTTCACAGATCTCAATTAATGAGAACAACATTGGACTTCCTTGTGGGAAATCATGAGCAGAAAGCCGAAGTCCTCTAGATTGAGCAATGGATGTGGAACATATGAAGAACTTCAAGATGTGTCTAGATGAGATCTATCCATGCTCATTCTTCTCTACAGCCTGATGCACTCTCAACTTTACATTAGTTCAAGTGAGATTTGATTATTCACTTTTACAAATAGTGTTACTTAAGTATTAATACTTACTCTAGTTGTAAGCATTTTAACAACTATGCAGTGAAAATCTCACTCCCCTGAGCAAATTGGTAGCATGGGGAAGTTGTGAGGGAAGTAGGAGAAAGAGGAGAGAAGAAGGGGAGGAGGAGAACATGAGGTATCAGGAAGATTGTGTTGGGGGAAGAATAGAGTAGGAGAGCAAGAAGAGAGACACCTAAATAATGGGAGCCCTTATAGGTTTAAAGAGAAAACTTGCACTAAGGAAATATTCAGAGATCCACAAGGATGACCCCAACTAAGAATCTAAGCAAAAGAAGAGAGGTTGCCTTAAATGCCCTTCCCCTATAATGAGATTGGTGACTATCTTAAATGCCATTGTAGAGCCTTCATCCAGAAGCTGATGGGTTTAGAAACAGAGAATCACAGCTAAGCACTGAGCAGACTCCTGGAATCCAGTTGTAGAAAGGGCAAGACCATGCACGGGAACCCACAGACACAGCTGACCTGTGCAAGTGGAAGTTAATGGACCCCAGTCTGACAGCTGAGGAACCAACATAAGACCCAACAAGGCCTCCTGAATGTGGGTATCATTTGGGAGTCCTGGACAGTCTATAGGACCTCTGGCAGTTTATCCAGAATTTATTCCTAGTGCACAAATGGGTTTTGGGAGCACATTGCCTAGACACATGGGGGAGGGCCTAAGTCCTGTCCCAAATGATGTAACAGATGTTGATGATCCCTTAAGGACACCTCACCCTCCCTGGGAGTGGATAGGGGTGGGAAGGCGGGGTCAGTGGGGACCAAGGGAGAATGGGAGTGAGGGGACTAATGTTGGTATGTAAAATAAGATTGTTATAATTTAAAGAATTTTTTTCTAAATGACCAAAAAAAGAAAGAAAATGGCACTGCTCATTCACCTTAGGCTTCACACATTTATCTGATTATACGCATAAGATGTGAACCTCAGCTGTTCTATTTTACAGAGGAAAAACCAGGTTACTCATTGGTGTGAAAGGCTGAAAACCTGATTTGAAGCTCTTGACTAAAACTAAAATTCAGGTAACATTCTCCATTTGTGCATTCCTGTTTTATAACTAGTCACACTCTAGTTTTACATTAAGAAGTTTATTTTTTCTTCAAAAATATTCATTATCAACACTTATGAGAGAGAGAATATTAATCAGATAAAAGGAGAAAATGCCATTCTGTATTGAGTTGAAGTTATTTCTCAGTTATTAAACCAGTTGTGTCTCCTATAGAAGACCTGGGTTCAGTTCTCAGCACCCACATGGCAGCTCCCAACTACCAATGACTCCAGCTCCAGGAAATTCCACATCTTTTCTTGCCAATGGGGGAACAGCATAATCACATCTATAAAATAAGAATAAAATTCCTTCAGGATAATGGACATTCATCTCTTTAAAGAATCACTTGTATGCGGTAAATATGATTTTAATTATTTTATTTAATTATTTTTATGCTAAGATTTGTATAATGATTGTAACATATTGGAAGTGACTTTCCTTAGGATCCTTCATTGTACACAAAAAGACAGATCATTATGGAAGGATTCTTACTTAGACCACTTTTCTATGTCTCAAGTTCACAATAAGCTAGATTGCATTTTGCAAACTAAATTTGTGCTTTTACTCTCACATTATACAGCTATGTGAAGCTCATAGTAAAGTCTTATTTTCATAAAAAATCAAAAGTTTTCTTTGTGACTATAAAGATTGATTTCTTGGTTATTTTGAAGCTCCTGAATTCTATATCAATGAAAGTATGCTAAGGTTCTATAATTCTGTTAAAATATACTTATTGGAAATATAATTTCTGGGACTTTGCAGTGGTTGACATTTTATCTGCTGATGTTTCAGCTTTGCCAAATTATGTGACATTAAGATTCTAATATGTTTCTTTGTTATCTTATTTCTACTCTTTTATGTTGATAGGACCTTCACTGTGATCTTAGAATATATATTGTATATTTTAGTATTGAGTAGAATAAAAGACAGAGTGGAGTATGTTGCTCAGTAGGAGGAGTACTTACCCAATATTTTTGAGACTAGATTAATTAGAAAATTTGTCTGAAAACATGCCAAAATATTTAATTACCTGTGGCTTTGTTGTCAGTAGTAAGAATTTTCTTTATATTTGTTGTTATATAGTCTCAACATGTAACCCAGATTAGCCTCAAAATTCTGATGTGTTTATCTCCTTCTCTTTTTTTATATTTTATTTTCCAGTTTAAATTTAGATAAGAAACGAGGTTGCTTCACAAGTCAGTTCCGGGTCCCTCTCCCAATCCCTCCCCTTCTCCCGTGCCCTCCCCCAACCCCCCCCATTATATGTGCTCGCTTCGACAGCACATATACTAAAAATTGAAACGATACAGAGAAGATTAGCATGGCCCCTGTGCAAGGATGACACGCAAATTCGTGAAGCGTTCCATATTTTTTGTTTGCAGACAATATGATAGTTTACATCAATGATGCAAAGAACTCTACCAGGGAACTCTTACAGCTGATTAACACCTTCAGCAAAGTGGCAGGCTACAAGATCAACTCAAGAAAATCAGTAGCCCTACTATATACAGATGATAAAAGGGCTGAAAGAGATATCAGAGAAACATCACCATTTACAATTGCCACAAACAACATAAAATACCTTGGGGTAACCCTAACCAAACAAGTGAAAGACCTGTATCGTAAGAACTTTGAATCTTTAAAGAAAGAAATTAAAGAAGCCCTCAGAAAATGGAAAGATCTCCCATGCTCTTGGATAGGTAGGATCAATGTAGTAAAAATGGCAATCCTGGCAACAGCAATCTACAGATTCAATGCAATCCCCATTAAAATCCCAGCACAATTCTTCACAGACCTGGAAAGAACAATAATCAATTTTGTATGGAAAAACAAAAGACCCAGGATAGCCAAAACAACCCTGTTCAACAAGGCAACGTGCGGAGGCATCACCATCCCTTACCTCAAGCTCTATTACAGAGCTATAGTCCTGAAAAAAAGCTTGGTATTGGCACAAAAATAGACAGGTAGACCAATGGAATCGAATTGAAAACCCAGGTATTAACCCATACACGTACGACCATCTGATCTTTGACAAAGAAGCTAAAAATATACAATGGAATAAAGAAAGCATCTTCAACAAATGGTGCTGGCATAATTGGAGACTGGCATGTAGAAAAATGTGGATCGATCCATGTTTATCGCCATGCACAAAACTTAAGTTGAAATGGATCAAAGACCTCAACATAAATCCAGCCACACTGAACCTCTTAGAAGAGAAAGTGGGTGGTACCCTTGAACGAATTGGTACAGGAGATAGCTTCCTGAACATAACACCAGTAGCACAGACAGTGAGATCAACAATTAATAAATGGGACCTACTGAAACTGAGAAGCTTCTGTAAGGCAAAGGACACAGTCAGCAAGACAAAAAGGCAGCCCACAGAATGGGAAAAATATTCACTAATCCCACATCTGACAGAGGGTTGATCTCCAAAATTTACAAAGAACTCAAGAAGCAAGTCTCCAAAACACCAAAGGACCCAATTAAGAAGTGGGCTGCAGAACTAAATAGAGAGTTTTCAATAGAGGAGTCTAAAATGGCTGAGAGGCACTTGAGAAAGTGTTCAACATCCTTAGCCATCCGGGAAATGCAAATCAAAACAACTCTGAGATACCATCTCACTCCTGTCAGAATGGCTAAAATCAAAAACACCAATGACAATTTATGCTGGAGAGGATGTGGTGAAAGGGGGACACTCCTCCATTGCTGGTGGGAGTGCCAACTAGTTCAGCCACTTTGGAAATCAGTATGGAGATTCCTCAGAAAAATGGGAATAAACCTACCACAAGACCCAGCAACTCCTCTCTTAGGCATATATCCAAAAGATGCCCATTCATACAACAATGATGTCTGCTCCACTATGTTCATAGCAGCTTTGTTTGTAATAGCCAGAACTTGGAAGCAACCTAGATGTCCCTCACCCAAAGAGTGGATAGAGAAAATGTGGTACATCTACACAATGGAGTACTATTCAGCAGAAAAAAATAATTGAATCATGAGATTCGCAGGCAAATGGACGACACTAGAAGAAACCATCCTGAGTGAGGTAACCCAGTCACAAAAAGAGACTCTCTCATATATGGATTTTAGACATAGATCTCGGGAGTGCCAGCCTACAATCCTATGGCCAGAGAGTCTGTGAAACAGAAACTTCATTTAGTGGCTGATCGAAGAAGAGGCAGACTCCCTTGGTTAAGTACTGAGCTGAACTCAAGAAAGCCAGTAACAGAGAGGGAGGACTGATGATCAAAGGGATTAAGACTGGGCTGGTTTAACCCCCAGAAACAGCTGACCAGACAAAGGTTAACTCTTGAATCCCAGGCATCAGCCTGGGAAGCCAGCATGGGACTGATCAAGACCCCCTGAATGGGGGTGTCAGTGAGGAGGCCTAGGGAATCTATTGAGCCTTGGGCAGCAGATCAGTACCCATCCCAAGTATACACACGGAATTTGGACTCCCATAGAACAATGTGAGGTGCACTCTCACCCTGAACTCTTGGGGAAGGGTTCTTCTCTTGATATAAGTAGTCGCACACATTTACACATGTTTAAAACTATGCCAACAGTAAACTTTTCATGATGTTGCAGCAAAAGAATTAATAAAAAAAACTTCCTGAGTCACCGTTTCTCCAACCACTACATTTAAAGAGTGTGTTTTGGAAAATTCAGGTCTGTATTTGACATGACTTTGTCACCAGCACTTGCTTATAAGAACCAAATTATATGGTGATTAAGGGGCACAAGGATAAATAATGAGGTATAATGATAGTAGATTTATTTTCTCACTTCCAGGCTCACAACTGACAACTTGACTTTGATACTTCTCAGTGAACATTGTCTGAGATACTTGTTTGATAACAGCTTGACATAGGTGTTTCTTGGTTAAAAGAAAGTAAGTGTGTTACTTACATTTCTCACTGTTGTCACAAACCCATAGCCAAATCTGTTGAAAGAGATTCATTTGGATCACAATATACTGATAGTATAAAAAGAAACCAGCAAGTGGTTTGTGATGCAGAAGCTAATCACTGACAAAAAATGCCAAAAATCAGTGCTGGTAGAGAATTGTACCCTAAATGGGATGGCTATCTCATACTTCTGAGATTCAGAAAACAATTTAGAAGGTTGTCAGGAAATACATAAGAGCTGAGACTATGGAGAAGGCCAGCAGCAACAACACACATTTTTGGATATGAGATAGCAAATGTGACCTACACAAGACCTGTTCAGGACTCACCTTATCAACATACATTGTGGATGATACAGGACCCCTAGGCCTACTCCTACATGAGGGATAATTGGCTGTTAATGGTTGCTCAGGAATGGGTGATGTTTGCTTCAATGGTGCAGCCCTTACAAATTGCCCTTTTCCCAGTATATGCCATCCTGCAAACACTTAGAGAAGAAACTATAAATTGACTTAGCAAGTTATATATTAGAGAAGACATGACAGCAGAAATGGATGGTGGTTTCAGCAAGAGGGAGAAGTACGGGAGAGGGCAATAAGAATAATTTCTAAATTTTATTAAATGTCTGAAACTATTACAAAAAAAGAAGAAAGAAGGGGAGGAAAGAATGAAGGGTGCACGGAAGGAAGAAATTGAGGGAGGAAGTAAAAAATAGTGGGCCAAAGGTTTACGGGCACTGTTCTTTGTATAAAGGTCATGAACCTGATGCTGTTGGAGCTAGAGGGGCAATCCTGGACATCACACGCAAAGAAGATGGATACTGGCAGCTGATGGAGCCGGGAGGACCAGCCAGAAAGAGTAGATGGATTCAGACAGCTGATGGAACCAGAAGGACCAGTGATGTAGAGAAAAACTGATCCATGAATCCAGTGGAATCGGGAAGACCAGCCAGGCCTTATGTGTCAGGGAGGCAGATATATAGAACTGTTTAGTTAAGAAGTATCCCAGACAGTCTTCCTCTTGTTATCTAGATTTCCAATATGACCACCCATCCCTGGGTGAGATTCCTCACACTAAGAAATTCAGTGGCCTCACTTTACCTTATTGTTGTACTTTATTTCTCCCTGGCTTTAGAGCTCAGGTTTTATTATGTTCTCATCTGAGAAGAGCCAAAAATAATCTGGTTTTTGCCTAATTGCCTAGATGATTTAGTATTTTCATTTTCTCTTTATTTTATGTTTGTTTTAGTCTAAAATATCTCCATCATCTTTGTTGCCCCCTCTCCCTAGGTGCTGAGAATATTTATGTGTTTGTGTGTCTGTAATTGTTTGTGTGTGTGTGTGTGTGTGTGTCCCACCACACCTGAAACTCTCAGTCTTACTTAAACTGCTCCTTCTCTTTTCTATACTGAATTCCAATTTCAATAGTCTATGACACATCTTCCAGTGGTAATTTTATAGGAAAATATTTACAACACATCAACAAAAGTAGTTTCCATATATTAATCACACTTGTTCCTTTAGAAAAGTAGCATAATTGGAGGATATGTGATTTTCCTGACAACTCAAGTTCAATATCCCAGCCCATGTTCTGATTGACCTCTACTTCAGATCTCCATGGAGTGAAGAGCCACAGTCTCATGCCCCAGCTCTTACTGCATTGCCTTCCTCTCTGTGCTGGACTGAACTCCCTTGAAACCCTGAGACCAGACCAATCTACACACCTCCCTCAGGTTGTTTCTGTCAGGTGTTTCCATCACAATGACCCATATTCATTATTAGTGAGCCTAAGATTTTGACATTTCTTGACATCGTTTAGTGTTTTTCCCCTTCATATGTTTCTTTCCAATATGACTGTTTGGTTTCACTTCAAGCTTTCAAAATTTTGTATTCTTTGTTTGTCTGATTCTGTGTCTGGACTATCCACATTTCTAGCTTTTTTCCCTACAGATTTATTTCCATACTTTTGTATGGTTACTACTCAGATAAATTATTGCATGACAACAGTAAAATGTACACTGGATTTGTGTTAATGAGATACAATTGCATCCCATATCTGTCATGGAGACATTTTCCTCTTTAGTGGACAGTCATTACTTTCTCAAATGAGGACACTCAGAGCAGTTATGGATCAAGTGCTGCAGCCATATAGTGAAGGAGGATTCCTGCCTGGTTAATGCACATCCATCTACACAGTGGTGGAAAGGGAAATTTCCTAGGAGATACTGCTTCACTTTTTATATTTCAAAGTACATGTGCATCAATGTCAGATCCACACCTGTATGATGAGCACCCACTTGGCAGTAGCTATGGAATAGGACACTAAGAACTGCCTTCCATGAGACTTTCTTCTTAACCACATCATGCTTACTTTGATACACTCCCAGTGACATATTTATAACCTGATTTCCCTTCTGTATATATCTGTTATTTTTAAACATTTACTCTATAGGAATTTACTCTCTAGAATTCTAAATATAAAATTGTAGTTCAATGTTTTCACTCTATAGTATTTATCTTTGCCTCTTTTGGGGATATGTCACCCAGCACCCAAATAAATCATACAAAAAGGATTTTTCTTTCTTACAAATGTCTAGCTTAGCTTACCTTTTTTTTTTTTGGTTTTTTGAGACAGGGTTTCTCTGTGGCTTTGGAGGCTGTCCGGGAACTTGCTTGGTAGTCCAGGCTGGTCTCGCACTCACAGAGATCCGGCCGCCTCTGCCTCCTGAGTGCTGGGATTAAAGGTGTGCACCACCAACGCCCGGCTTAGCTTACTTTTTTACTAACCAGTTTTTTCCTCTTTTCCTTTTTCTGTCTTTTCTCGGTTTTTCGAGACAGTATTCCTCTCTGGCTTTGGAGGTTGTCTTCGACTCAAAGAGATCTGCCTGCCTCTGCCTCCCATGTGATGTAATTAAAGGCATGCACCTCCAACACCAGGCTCTATCAAGCTTTTCCTAATTTAAAACATTCCATTTATTTTTTGCCTCTGGTGTTTTATCTTTCTCAACTTTTGTAAACTGTTTTTTGCTTCTGTCTCTGTGGCTTTCCCTGTGTCTGTGTGGCTGGTCCCAGGTGTCTTTTTCTCTTTCCTCCTCCTCCTTTCTATCCTCTCAGATTTCACCTATTTAATCTTTCTGCCTGTCACCTTTGCTTATCCTTTATTGCCAACCTATTGGCTCATTAATCTCTTTATTAGAGCACTAACATATTTTAGACAGGTAAAGTAACACAGCTTCAAAGAATTTAACAAATGAAACATAAAACAATGCATCCCATTTTTGTATCATTAAACAAATGTTCCACAGCATAAACAAATGTAACACATATAAAAATTTTCTACTACTAATCCCACATCTGACAGAGGGTTGATCTCCAAAATTTACAAAGAACTCAAGAAGCAAGTCTCCAAAACACCAAAGGACCCTATTAAAAAGTGGGCTGCAGAACTAAATAGAGAGTTTTCAATAGAGGAGTCTAAAATGGCTGAGAGGCACTTGAGAAAGTGCTCAACATCCTTAGCCATCCGGGAAATGCAAATCAAAACAACTCTGAGATACCATCTCACTCCTGTCAGAATGGCTAAAATCAAAAACACCAATGACAATTTATGCTGGAGAGGATGTGGTTAAAGGGGGACACTCCTCCATTGCTGGTGGGAGTGCCAACTAGTTCAGCCACTTTGGAAATCAGTATGGAGATTCCTCAGAAAAATGGGAATAAACCTATCACAAGACCCAGCAACTCCACTCTTAGGCATATATCCAAAAGATGCCCATTCATACAACAAGGATGTCTGTTCCACTATGTTCATAGCAGCTTTATTTGTAATTGCCAGAACTTGGAAGCAACCTAGATGTCCCTCACCTGAAGAGTGGATAGAGAAAATGTGGTACATCTACACAATGGAGTACTATTCAGCAGAAAAAAATAATGGAATCATGAGATTCGCAGGCAAATGGACGACACTAGAAGAAACCATCCTGAGTGAGGTAACCCAGTCACAAAAAGAGAAACATGTCATGTACTCTCTCATATATGGATTTTAGACATTGATCTGGGGAGTGCGAGCCTTCAATCCTATGGCCAGAGAGTCTGGGAAACAGAAACTTTATTTAGTGGCTGATCGAAGAAGAGGCAGACTCCCTTGGTTAAGTACTAAGCTGAACTCAAGAAAGCCAGTAACAGAGAGGGAGGACTGATGATCAAAGGGATTAAGACTGGGCTGGTTTAACCCCCCAGAAACAGCTGACCAGACAAAGGTTAACTCTTGAATCCCAGGCATCAGCCTGGGAAGCCAGCATGGGACTGATCAAGACCCCCTGAATCTGGGTGTCAGTGAGGAGGCCTGGGGAATCTATTGAGCCTTGGGCAGCAGATCAGTGCCCATCCCAAGTATACACACGGACTTTGGACTCCCATAGAACAATGTGAGGTGCACTCTCACCCGAACTCTTGGGGAAGGGTCTAGGCCCTGCCCTGTATGAAATGACGGACTGTGCACACCCCCATGGAGGGCCTCACCCTCCCTGGGGAAATGGGGGGATAACGGGGGGGGGGAGGGCTTGGGAGGAGGGGAGGGAATGGGAGAGGGACCTGGAGCTGACTTGTGAAGCAACCTTGTTTCTTATCCAGATTTGAACTGGAAAATAAAATTAAAAAAATAAAAATAAAAATATTCTACTATATAAAATTATATTGAATCCCAAATTTTGGCATATAGGAGTATCATTATTCATTTATAAGATAAATTATTGAAGTTAAAAGGAAAGAATTAGGACTTCAATATAAAAAAACTAATTCTGAGAATCCAGAGTGACATCACTGTTTGCCTGAATCTAATGTAAACACCTTCTCTGGCTATTCATCTGCTTCCATCAGCAGGGTAGTGTGAGCTGTAACATCTACCAGTCAGTAACATTCATTACTACCCCAAGTGTATTTTCTCCTGAGCAGTAAGATGACAGCACCTGTCCTCTCAATAATGTAGCTTAACCAGTGGAGGAAGACAACTTTATGCACATGAAAATATACTCACGTAGACCTTGTTCATTATTTCCACTGCTCAAAGCATACATGATTATCTACTGACAAAGTTCCCTTTACCTGACCTCATGCTTGAGAATCCTGTCCTTAAATAAGACCATCACACAATGGCTGTTGAGGTTTAAGCACTGCATTTCTGCTGGCATAGCCCAAACTAAAACATTGCTTATGCCAATGTCTTAAATTATTTTTCTGATTTATTGATATGTTCATCAATATGCATTATAGTTAACTGTAGGCCTTTGAGTAATGATTACAGCTTTCTTCAGGCTGACATGTCTTCTACTCCCTCATGCTACTGTGACTACCAAGCTAACATCTAGTGTTTGCTGGAGCTAGTGATGCCCTTAGATGCCCAGATGTGACAATTTCTATTTTACTCCAGGATTTGGGACATCTTCACAATTTTACCTAAAATTATTAAATCAAGACCACATTTCTGCCCCCTACAATATTATGATTCCAGTAGATTCATAGTACAGTGCTTGACAGCTCTAGCACAGAATATGTACACAAATAACCATTAGAAAATACATGACTCTGTCTTATGCATTGGAGTGAATCATGACTAAACTTAATTTCTTATTTCTCAGGGCCTTCTGAAGTATTGAGTATTTAGAACCTTGATACAGGGAAGGAAACCAGAGAGTTCCTGGGACTGTTTCAGATGAAGCAGAGAAAGAGCTGGGTATGTAGTCTGGACATGTAAGGGCCATGATTCTTCCTTCTACCCTGTTTTCCACATTAGCATTTCCATGTTAGTGCTGTGGGGCAGTGGTGTTGAGATGTCATGGGAACTGCCTGCCACATCTGCCACTCCTCCATGATTGCCTCCAGGGTTGCCTTGGCTGACTTGCCTGAATAGACAGCTGTGTCCAGGTCTGGGAACAGTGAGCAACCTTCCTGGACCTGGGGGATGACAGTTAGGCCTGGACATTCATGGGAGAGACTGGGACTGTGTTTCATTTATGAGGCACAGGAGAAATCTGTCTTCCCTACTGTGATCTTCCAAACCAACTAACTCAAGGTCGTGTCAGTTTCAGAACTGTCTGGTCAAGTGTGTTCCATGAGCACTTGGGAGCTGAGGGAGCTGAGTCACCACCAGTTCATGACTGACACACTCTGTTACATAATGAATTCCCAGAGAACATATCCTATAA